ACAATTCTTGTTTTTTGTTATTTGAGCAACTTGTTAACCAAAAACCTCAATTCGCAGAGATGTCAGGGGTGTGGCTTCATGGACTGGTTTGACCCTCCAATGTGCAAGAGGTCACATAAAATTATTCCTTGGTTGCTGAAAGAATTGAATGGCTATGAAGACCAAATGCAGATATTGCACTTGAAGGTGGAAGAGTTACAAGCAAATGAAAGAAGAAATACAAAATGAAGAAAAAACCCCTAAATTCATTCAGATTGTGTGTTTTGTAACAATTGTTGTTTTTGTATCCATGTACGCATATATGTAATAGTTTGTCTTGTATGTTGTGATCTTAATGTGACTTTTCTGATGTATTAAGCAGCAGTTGATTGTTACCTCAAACTGATTTGCAAGTGACTTTATTATGTTTACATGTTCTGATAAGGTGTTGGTAGTTTACAATCTTAACACACAGGTAAACTAAGAACCACCATGAACACAAACTGAAAACCAAGCTGCCGAAAACACAGGTCTCTTTTTATAACCTGAAGCATAACAAAACATACTACCTAAAGCATAACAACATGAAGAAAAACCATAACAACCCATAACAACAACATCAACACAAACTGAATACATAGAACCTGATTACAAACAGAACAAATTGGGTATAGCATCCTCAATAAAAGACAAATAAGGTTTCATATTACATAGTACAAAAGGCTGAGTATGGCATCATCAGTACAAAAGACAACCAGATAAGATGTTTAATACAGATGGATTGTTTTAAACTTACATATTACACAAAACATATTACATATTACATATTAAACTACTCCAGGTCTGTTAGGTCTGCATCATTCCCAAAAAAGATAGACTTGAAAGAGCTTTTGGATCTGGTGCTATAGGTTGATCTCTTCTTAATGTCCAGCTTCTGAGGCTTGGTTCTTTTTAGTTCTGACTTCTGACCTTTTGAGGTCTTTGAATCAAGAGGTGGTCCATAGCTAATCCTGACCCCATGAGAATTTCTCACTTCTATTTCATTACTGCAGTCATCATCAGTTTCCTCAGTGTGTTCTCCACTTCCCCCCTCATTCTCTTTTTCACATTCTTTATGTTCATAAATGCCTTGCTCAGTGTGTTCTCCACTTCCCCCCTCATTCTCTTTTTCACATTCTTTGTGTTCATAAATGCCTTGCTCAGTGTCCTCCATTGAAACAACCATAGGTAATTCAGTTTGCATAGAAGGAGACTCTCCAAGGTCCAAAGTAACATCCACCAAGTTGTCCTCATATAGGTCTTCAACTGTAGCTTCTCCATCAAGCACAGGTGCTCCATCAACTGTTGGTTCTCCATCAACCGTAGCTGATCCATCCACAATACCTACTCCATCAACCATAAGTGTTCCAGCATCTCCATCACCATGTTTGGTACCCACAATGTGCTTGGCTGTGGATTTTCTTTTTCTTTTCCTAGGTTGCAACTGAGTATACAAAAAATAAGAAGAAGATGTGGTTATACATAAGAGTGTATGAATAAGAGTAATAAAAATGAGTGAAATATGTGTTTACCAGCTTTTCTTTGTTCTTGGGATCATCCGGACACCTCCTAACATTATGCCCTTCTTTCTTACAATTTGAGCAATGCATCTTAAAGTGTGTTCTTGACACTTTCACTCCATCTGTACTCAGCAATGCATCAACAACTGATTTCCTCCTAAGCTCTCGTGGTCTTCCAGGTTTGGCTGAATACAGAGGTGGAAGAGGTGCTCTTCTTTCACAAAGAGGCCACTCATTAGGCCCTGCCATTGGTTTTATTGACCCAACATATATCTTCAGGTAAACTTCCCTTGTGTAACATGGGTGCACATAATCATCTACTGGCCCTTTTCCAAACTTCAGCCAAATAGCACATATAACATGCTTGCATGGGATGCCATTTAGGTCCCACACCCTGCATGTGCAACTTTTTTTCTCCAAATCTACAACATGTTGGGTACCACTCATCCCAGTAATCTCAAACTCATTATCTCCACACCGATAACCTATCAAACCTGCATCAAACTTCTCAATTTCTTGTATCTTTTTACTATTATGGGGCATACATTGGAGGTCCATTTCTTTGCTTTTTCCCTAATGGTAAAAAGTTTTGTAAGTAAAAGTTTCCTCATGGATTCTAAGCAAACCAGAATGGCCTCTTGTCTTGCATCTAAGATCACACCATTGAAACACTCACATATGTTGTTTGTGAGCATATCAGTTTTGGAGTGTGTGGAGAAATGAGACTTTGACCATTCCCTTGGATTTTTATCTGCCAGCCACTCAAAAGCTTTTTGATCTATTTCCTTTACCTTTGTAATAGCAGCCTTAAATGAATTGACAGTACAAGCTCTAGCACATTCCCATAGACTGTCTTTGATTGCTTTACCATGAAACCCAACCACCTTCATGTTCCAATGCAAATGTCTTACACAGAGCCTATGTTCAACCTTTGGAAACAACTCAGTCACAACTTGATTCAGACCTTTTTGCTTGTCAGACATGAATGTGAATAGATGTTCATTATCTTCTGTGATATCATCATCTCTTCTTATTAGATTCAAAAACCAGGACCAAGACTCCTTTGTTCCCCCTCAACAATAACATATGCCAATGGAATATGCTATTGTTTGCATCAACCCCAACTGCCACTAATAACTGCCCCCTGTCATGGTTTTCAGATGAGTTCCATCAACACCTAGTACTGGTCTGCAACTTTTAAAGCCTTCTCGATATGCTTCCCAACACATATACATCCTTAAGAATCTCTGTTGCCCATCCAGCTCTATGTTTTCGCTTAATTTAACAACACATGTGCTCATTGGATTGCTCCTCCTTATTTTAGCCACATAACACCACATTTTTTTGAAGTAGTCATCTTCTTCACCTCTAAGCAACCTTTTAGCCTTGCTCATTGCTTTATAAGCCTGCCTTTGAGTCACATGAAATCTTTCATCAGTACATACCTTTTGTCTGAACTATTTGTTCTTCCGGTTGGAGTGACTTTTGATCTCCTTTAACCACCTCTTAGCAACCTTTGTTGAGTTAACCATTTTATTGTGATACACCCAAGAGCACCCTTCATGTGTTCTGTGATACTGTAGTATCCTCCAAGAGTGGGAATTTGCTACCTTTCTGAGGTTAATTCTTCATGGACAATTTTCTTTCCTTATCACTTTTTGAAAACTTAGGTCCTTACATGTCTTAAAAGCATGATTCTCAACTGCTTCTTTAAATTCTTTCTTGGTAGCAAAGGTCAACCCCGGCTTGAAGGTAGGATTTTGCATATCAGTCCGGGCACATAAATCACTCCACTTATCACCATCAGTCGCAGAACCATGAATGGAAGCATCATCTTCAAAGTTTGGTTCAGGATCTACCAATGATGGATGGTTTTCTATGTTTTCTTGTTCACTGTTGGTGTGCAGCCCTCCATACTCAGCTATTGGATCAATGTTATTGGAAAAATCACTATCATCTTTAGAAACAAAGTCCCCTAGATCTGAATCTTCATCATCCCCAGAAAAATCTTCTAACTCCTCACTATAAGCACAATCACTGGCAGAGAAGTCATCATCACCAACTCCACCTTCATCCTCTTCTTCTAAAAAATTTCCTTCTTCTAACTCAACCCAAATCTCCACAACTCTACCCACATTTCCATTATTCACACAGGTCCAAATCTCCGAGCCACCTTTCAATTTTTCTAATGAAGAATCTAAATAGGAAAACACCATTCTTACCTTATTAGTGCAACCAAGTTCTTGTAGTTTCTCTTTCAGGACAATTAGACCAAACTCATCCACATCTAGATCACGAAACAGATGAGTAGTGCCTCCCCTGTAAGCAGGTCTGGGAGTGTCATGGACTTTTCCTCCGTACAACAGCTTGAGACTAAATGTAGTCTCACATGGGGCTGTTTAAAAAAGGCATTCAACGTGGTAGGTCAATCATTCAAAGTGGTACACACAACCACATAATAAATACATACACAATACAAACATCAGAAATATAATTTTTTCAAAGTACACTACACACAAACCATTCCACAAACCATTAGATAAAGTTAAAAAGGAAAAATAATCTGGTCCCATTTGTCAAATCCAAAAAGATAAAGGGAAAAGAGAATCTCACTGCAGATAAACCCTACCCTACCTTCTCCAACAACATAAAAAAAAACATTTTGTGTTTGTCTTTACCACTTCACCTAATTTTCTACCCACATCATTCATACGCAACTTCACAAAATTTCTTACCCAAATCAGGTCAGAGAAATTTCTTACCTTTCTGGTTGTCTTCCACACTCGTCCCTTCTCCATGTCCTCTTCGCCCCATTCCAATTGTTGGAACTTCAGTAAATCACGTTCTCATCCTTAGATTACGTTCTAGGGCTTCTCACACCGTTGAAGGGGAAATGGAAATTACAGAGTGTATAGTAGAAGGAGAGAGGCTTAGGTGATAGTTAGCTGTTTAAAAGGAACTTGATTTTACTAAAATGACCTTCATTAAAAGCAAAAACCGGTAACCCCGTCGGACTTATCGCCGGAAGGACGAGGAATGGTAACAGGAGAAAACGATGGAATAAGATGTGGTGAAATCGGAAGTATAGTACAAAATGTGGAAGTGACATGATAGTTCCGGGACCAAAAGTGAAATTTTTTCATTCCAACAATCCACCAAAAGTTACAACCTCTTTTCTCGGGTTATTAAAAACAACCATTCTTGATGTACACAACCTTGTACACACACCATGTTTGTGAAGCTTTTTTTTGTCTGTGAACCCGGTTCACAGACAATATTTTGTTTGTGCAAAACATTGTCTGTGAATCGATGTTCACAGACAAAAAAATAGCTTTCACAGACATATGTGTGTACAAAAGTGTGTATAAAAGTGTGTACAAACATCATTTTTGTATTAAAAAACTCTATGTCCCCAATCCAATACTACCCCATTATCTAATCTGTTCAAAGGCAGTTCAGAGGAACAGTTTGGAGTGAGATGGAGGTCTTAACATCATTTGGAGTTTGTATGAGCTGTTGGAAGAAAGAAATAAAATTATTTGTCCCATCTGAAACGTTGGAGTTTTAGCATATAAACTTATACCACCGTATAGTTTATCATCCTCTAGGCGTTGGCACCACTGTGTACGTTTTGGTTCAACAAACAGCCAGATTCTATCGACAAAGATTCCATCTTTGTAGTGTAGTAACCATGTCATTCTCTTCACTCTTATTTCGTCTACGTGCTTCTTCAAGACTCATTTACAGTGATTTCAAAAGTTCGTTTTACCAAAAAAGGGTCCATTCAAGAATCCTTGGGGAGGGCACAATCAGTTCAGAGAAGGTCTGCTCAGCCTCTTTAGTTCCCCTGGCCCTCGCAATCTATGCCGGTTCACTCGCTCTCCATGCCCAAACCAGCTCAGCATTTAGTCTCTGCGATGCTCCTTATATCAATCCTAGGTATTTCCCACCTTCTTCTTGAGAGTGATTTTCCTTTTTCCCTTCTGTATGAAAAAATAAAAACCTAAAACCTTGGGGCTTCGAGTAATTGGTTTGTTTCAGCTTTTTTACATCTACCTCAGGTGAGGTTTGGTAAAATTACCAGATCATCCAGAGGTTATGAAAATTACAGATGCACTTTTATCAAGTCTAATTTCCATAAATAACAAAAAGGATGATATTATACTGCGATATTAGTAGGAGTTTAGTGTCTGATATTATATTCAGACAAAGTTAATCCTTATATTCATCCCAAATGCATTTTAAAAAAACCATAAACATTGTAATGTTACTATGAGTATAGAAACATGAAGTCCAAAACACTAAATCCAGCTCGTATCTTTATATTATATGGAGTATCAAATTTTGGTGTTAGAAGTGTATTTCTGGAAAATGGGACATCCCAGGAGGATGTATTCAATGTTTGAAATTGTGCAAAGCAATTGCATCTTGAGGCTACAGCTATTGGCAGAATTGGTGAGGCTTGTGCCTTGTGGCTCAATGAGGCTTGTGCCTTGTTGCGCAATGAGGCTTGTGCCTTGTTGCGCAATGTGGCTTGCACAATACGCAATCCAGTTAAAACGTTTTAATTCCTCAATACACAATTTTATACACTGGTGTATTGGTAATGTTCAGAAACCGCAGAGATGATTCCGTAACTTGACCAACCATAGAGATTGTTTTTGAAAAGATGAGTAATTTTGACTGGTTTTAATGGTTTATTTAAAGTACTGTGCTATTAATTTCTCCATTTGGTACGTTTAAGTGAGAAAGCTGGTGGCAAATGCACTACGGACTATGCGGTGAAAGGTTCTCACAAAGAAGTTCCACATGAGCTTGTTGATGAATTGCAAGAAATTTTTCAGGTAATTTATTTCCATCTTTCAGGTGAAGCCTACACAGTGTTTTGGAGTTTCGGCTTCTAATGTTAGTACCCTGTATTTTTATCTTCAGCTTATTAATGGCTGAATGTAGTATTTTTAATTTGCATTTTCCCCGGGGTTCAATGCTCATTTTATTTGGAAATGGGGATGAGTATTAAAAAAACCCACAGACTAGTTGGTTTATTCTGATGTGAAAGAGTGGATTTTCTTCGTTTGCTGGTTTGGAAATAGGTTTCTGATAGTTGGTTATGTAGGATAATATGACAATGGACTACGATGAGAGATATAATCATGGGAAGCCACCAAATAGTTTTCACTCGGCGGTAAATATCCCTGATATTGTTGTTTTCCCAAGGTTTGTATGGATTTTGGACATTCACATGATTCTTTATTTCCTTAAATGTCTGCTTTTCATACCATGTATGAACCTCTTCGAAGATGAAAATTTCAATGAAAGGTTTGATGGAAGGCATTGGAATGATTGTAAGAGAAACCCCAAATGACTCAAACTATAGATAATCTTCTTTGCACATTTTTTCTTCTTTTGTTGAACAAGAATAGATATCCTTTTGTTGGTGGAGATAGTATGTAAGAGCTTTTTCTCTTTTTGTGTAGGTGTGAGGATGAGGTATCTAAGACAGTGAAAGCTTGTAACAAGTATAAGGTCTGAATGCCACCACCTGTAGATAGAATCATATTGTATTTATTTCATTTCATGTTACCTTTAGGCTTTCAATTTTTGGCTTGCTACTTTATTGCACTTAATGTGATGTAAACAGGTACCGATTGTACCCTATGGTGGATCCACATCTATTGAGGGTCACACCTTATCTCCTAATGGGGGCGTTTGCATTGACATGGCATTCATGAAAGTATGCATTTATTATATATCATGTTTTGATTCGCTACATTAACTTTTTAACATTTTGAATTCCCCATGATTCACTAAGCTTCCATTTATCTTTCACTTATTTGGTTCTTAATGAATCCCCTCTCAAAGGGAATTTACAAAAGAGAGTCCTCTAAGAGTGAATGGAAAATATTGGTTTCTTATTTTCTTACCATGGGTTATGAATTTCTATTTAAATCTGTAGCACATAACAGCATTACACATGGAGGATATGGATGTCGTGGTTGAACCTGGGATTGGATGGATGGAGCTTAATGAATACTTAGAACCCCATGGTCTCTTCTTTCCACTTGATCCTGGTGAGTTTCTATTTTCCTTCTATGAAATATTTCATCCCATTTCAATGCAAGTTTTGGCACCAAGTCATGTATGCGTTTAGAGATCATTCTTATTTTGTAAATTTTTATTGGGTTTTTTTGGAAACCTAGTACTCCGTAGATTAATAAATCTGAGCACATTGTTTTTGTCATGTATAAAAATTCTTTAGCAAATGTAGCGAAAAGCCCTGTCGTTTTCTGAAATAATGAAGGGTAGACTTATGCTGTTATGCAACAATGATTGCACAAGTTTACTAACGGTTAATCGAATATTTAACTTCTCTTAGATGAGAAGTATATTTTTGCAATATTTAGCTCTACATTCCGACCCCAAATTCTTTTCGTACTAAGGCTTGGATGTTGTTGTTTAGCTTTACATTATTTCACTTTCCTTGTCGACATTACAAACACATGATATGCAGGACCTGGAGCAACAATTGGGGGTATGTGTGCTACACGTTGCTCTGGCTCTTTGGCAGTGAGGTAGTCCCTTTCCTCTTTTGTCTTACTGTCTTCTAACCTTTTCACTTGATGTGTAAGTTTAACCTTATTATGGACATGGTTGTCACGGCGTCGCCTAGTCTGCGACTAGGCGTCCAGGCGCTGGAGGAAGCTCGCCGGTTTCACTCGCCTCGCCAGAAGAAAATCGTTTGAGTCTGTCGTCGCCAAGTCGTCGCCATGTCGCTGTGTTGGCAACGGATTCCTCGCCTATTCGTAAGTCGCGGAAAACTGGGCCAGAACTCCCAAACCCAGTTAAAAAGAAAAATAGATTTAGGCCTTAATTATTTTTAGGAAGCTAATTTCATTCATTTTTAGGAAGCTAATTTCATTCGTTTTTAGGAAGCTAAAGCCCTTTAAGGCTTTAATTAAGGCTTCAGATTTTAATTAAAAGCTAAGCCCATAGTTACCTTACGAGTTACGACCTTACGGAATACGGACGAAGAAGCATCGCAGGAAGCAGTCAAGCAAGGAAGAAGACGAAGTCACAGAGTAGCACTGTAGCATATGACTTTCTTGTTCTCAGGTTCCGGATACTTCTATTTTAATCTAGATATTTTTATATCGCAGAGTATATTTAAGAGTATCTTATTTTCTTAAATATACTATTGCAGGGATTCGCAGGTTCCCGACTTTTAAGGCTTCTGAATATATATAACTATACAACAGTGTTTTTAAAATCTAGATATTTAAAATAAGAGTATATAACTATACAACAGTGTTTAATCTATTTTAGTTAATTGTGGATTTCAATTCTAAGTTATATACATTTTAGTTAGTAATATATTATACATAATATATAATTAAAAATATAATTATATATGTAAATATATAACCATATATATAATATATAATATAATATACACATATAGGCGACTAGTCGCCTATTTGTCGCCTAGGCGGGCGCCTTGTCGCCTAGGCGATATGGCGGTCAGCTGGCGCCGCGACTCGACTTACCGCCGTGACAAGCATGATTATGGACTGTACTCGCTACGTTTTCCCTCTTACAACATAATTCCACTTAAAATAACTTTTATAAACTTTTTGAAAATGAAAATAAAGACTATCTTTTGTAGTTAGCTGTAGACCGAGAAAAACTGAAAGGAGTAAACTAATTTATATTGTTTTAGAATGTAGGTATGGCACGATGCGTGATAATGTCATCAACCTTAAGGTAATCTTATGTCCATGATGAATGTTTCCATTACAAGCAAGGGCATAATAGTAATTGTTAAGACCTAAATGGGCTGATAGGAGTAACCAAATGAGTCAAAGAGACCTTAAATGGGCTAATAGATGTTAAGATTCAGATTTCTGTCGGTCAATCTAATAGATGAAGTAGCCCATAATCTTATATATTAGTTTATTGTTTTATACCAATTTGGCGTGAAAAAACATTTCAATTATAATAATAATAATTTCATAAGTAGCGTGTATTATCCCACAGGTTGTTCTAGCAAATGGAGATGTGGTCAAGACAGCATCTCGGGCAAGAAAAAGTTCTGCAGGGTATGTTTGTCGTTGTTTTCGTATGTAATAATAACTTATGAATAGATTTTCTGATAGAACTGTAATTGCATGTTCTAGTTATGATTTGACACGCCTGATCATTGGAAGTGAAGGAACCCTAGGAGTTATCACTGAAGTTACTTTGCGCTTGCAGAAGATTCCTGAGTCATCTGTGGTATTCTCATTTTTCCTTCCCTGTGTTAGTTACCCTTCTATGTGATTTAATCCTCACTTTTTAACTTGAGAAACTTCTTATTTGCTCTATCTTGTCCGTAAACTTTAGTGGTTCCCGCTTCTAATGTTGGCTTTGACCAGAAATTCTGCAAGGGATGACTTAGGTTGTTAAATTATTTAAAACAATAGAAGGGAAGTGTAATTCACAGCTTAGTCAGAAAAGTCATCCATAGTATTATTTACATTACAAGGACCCACATACATTCAAATTATATAGCTACACTACATAACAAACTCATTAACCAAACTTTAATAATCAACTAACAGCTCCAACAACTAATCAGATATATGCTGATATGGAAATTGAGCTGATGTGTCACTGCTTGTGTGGCAATCTTGTAATACCCCCGTAAGTTGGTGCGTAAATAGTATTTAGTCCCAGGCTGCCAGCTTAGATATGACCATATGAATATATTAAAATCAGTGATGGGAATCAGGAAGAGCGTTGGCAAAGCCATCTGCAACTTGATCATGGGAAGGGACAAAGGCCCAATAAAACCATTTTTTACCATATTATGAACAACATGGCAGTCTATTTCGATACGCTTAGTTCTTTCGTGAAAGACATTGTTTTCAGAAATAGCAAGTGCATACTGGTTGTCACGAAGGACAGGTATACGAAGTGTGGTTGGTGTATTTATATCATGAGGAATGTATGATCCACAACACTTCACAGACTATGTTTGCCATTGCTCTATCCAGCCTCTGATGATGAATGAGCTACAGTCGTTTGTTTCTTTGTGATAGAGAGCAGGAAGAGCATGGGGTGGGAACGGGCTTGGGCCCACTTCCGTGGGCCGGTTATGGGCTGAGATTATAGTTTTTATTTATTATTATAAAGTTTATGTTATGTTTTTAGTTTGGGCCTATTATTAGTAGAGTATTTAGTAGAGTTAGTATGAACTTAATTAGGATTTAGTTAATTTGGGCTCGATTAGGGTTCTGTTTAGTCTCTTACTGGAAGGTTGTTTATACCCCTTGTCAGGGTTCGTTCTTGCTTATCTTGGAATAAAATTGGATTTCAGCCTTTTGACTCTAGGCAACGGTTTATATCGTTGATTATTTGGGCAACAAATTTATTCCGTTGATTTTTATTTTTCTGTTCTCATCAATTGGTCCGACCTGCCGGATCCCGTCCCGCCAGCATGACGAGATCTCAGAACGATCGTTTGACAGAGATGGAGGCCGAGCAAACCCGAACGGGAGAGGAGCTAGCCCGAATTAGGGCCGATCAGTCCCGAATGGGGACTAGCAAACTCGGATGAATCAAACCCTGGAAGAACACGACATGCGGCTAGCTGAGATCGCCGCATTCCTAGCGGCGCTGACCAAGGCCTTTGTGCCGCCAGTCACGACGGAGACACCATTAGACGCGGTCGGCAGTACCGCCACCATAGCGCACAACGACGGACCTCCGCGCAGCACTCCTCCAACCTTGCTGCCCATGTTCGACGGAGAAGACCCGATCGGGTGGATAGCTAGGGCTGAGCAACTGTTCGAAATTAATCAAACCCTACCTGAGAGGAAAGTCGCAGCAGCTACGGTAGCCATGGAAGGGGCTGCCCTGCACTGGTTGACCTGGTTGAAGGTTTGAAAACCGAGCATGACCTGGTAGGAATTCACACAAGCACTGGTGGCCCGATTTGATTCACGGTTCAAAGGAAGCCGATTCGAACGGCTGTCCGGGGTCAAACAGTTGAGAACCGTAGAGGAGTATAATAACCTTTTTGTTCATTTGGCCAGTCAGGTTCCCGGATTGTCCGATGATCATTACTTGCGGTATTTCATGAACGGACTGAAGGTACCGATTCGTGGATCCTTGCGGTTGCTGCGGCCAAACAACCTGGAGATAGCAATGGAATTGACAAGAGACATCGAGGACAATCTGTCCTTTCAAGATAGACAGGGAAAACCAACCCTACAAGACAGAAGTGCGTTCAGGCAGTTTTTTGCGTCCAGGTGGGGGAAACAGCCCGGTTATGAGTGGTGGCAGCATTCAGGGATCGAGTGGCAGCTTTCCAAAAAATAGTGGGCAGTCCCCATTGACAAAATCAGGGCTGTCCGGACAGTCTATTGCACGCTCTCAATTCAATCGACTTCCGCCGAAGACTTAGCAGAATTGCGGGCGAAAGGATTATGCTTTAGGTGTAAGAAACCATTACACCAAGGCATGACTGCCCCTTTAAGCAGTTGCGGGTAATGATAGCTGAGGAGGATGAGGACTTGGACCTCCAACAACATGAGTATTGTGAAATAATCGGCCAGGAAAAGGTTCAGAAAGGCCAGAGGGTCCGAAGGAGATGAAGGATATTTTCCAGTCTATTCTATGGCTGGAAATTTCAGCCCTCGATCTGCGAGATTTCAACCTTGAGGACAAGGTTATTTTGAAGGAGGATGGATTGATAGAGAGAAGGAACAACATGGGGCGGGAACGGGGGCTTGGGATTATAGTTTTATTTATTATTATTAAGTTTATGTTATGTTTTTAGTTTGGCCTATTACTAGTTCTGGAAGTATTACTGTATATCTAAGAATATGCTTTAGGAATATACTCTAGACATTATTATATAGCATCTTATATGGAATATTCCATCTTTGTAATATATATATATATATATATATATATATATATATATATATATATATAACCCGGAAGGCAAACCACCAAAATCAGTGGGGCAAACGCCAGGGAACGTGTGCCGATGTTTTAGTAATAATCAAAAAGTACATGAGAGAGGGGGATCAAACAAAAACCTCTCGTAGAGGCATTCCTCCAATAAAAAACATTTTTGAAAATGAAAAAAGGAGAGGAGACAATTCAGAAAATACAAAGAGCTAAAGAAACAATACTCTGGATAAAAGAGGAAAGGAGAGTAAGCGATATTAGGAAAACCTAATATTCGGACATTCAGCAGCGTCCAGGTGAATAGCCCCCCAAATACGAACAGGAAGGTGAGCAGCCTGAAGAAAGGTCATCTGAGTTCTTGATGTAGCATACTCTCGAGCAAGCAGATGAGCAACAACGTTCGCTTCTCTATAACAGTGTTGAAAGGAGAAATTGAGGTCTGAAGCAATCCGTCTAACAGGAAGAGTAAGATGATTGAAGCTAGTTGTGTCTCGATTTTGCCGAAGTAAGGAAACTGCAGCAAGGGAATCGGTCTCAACCTCAACGTTAGAGAAACCAGCCTCTTTCAACCAATGAGTAGCTATGAAGATTGCGGCCATCTCAACTTCCAAAACCAAGCTTGCCTTAAATATATATATGTGTGTGTGTGTGTGTGTGTGTGTATATATATATATATATATATATATATATATATATATATATATATATATATATATATATATATATATATATATATATATATAGGGCCTTAACCCTCCAATGAAATACATAGAAAATCCTTCTCTCCATGTTCAATATGATTCTAGTTTATATTTCAACATGGTATCAGAGCCTTCCATTTTAGTTTAGTTTTTCAGATTTCAGTTTGATTTTCAGACTGGATTCTGTCTTCAAGGACCTGAGTTCAGTCTTCAGATTATTCAAAACATTCAGACACTGGTCTCTCTTAAAATTCTTTCGTCAGGGATTTCAGTTTTCAGATTCTTCAGGAATTTGAGTTCAGTTTTTCAGATTCTTCAGAACCTCAAGACAGATCCTCTACAGAACCTGTATTCAGAACCTTTCACAACCTTAGTACAGTCCAAATACCTCATCTCCTCCGGGGTTTGTTGCTTAGGGGGAGTATGGTAAAGTTTGTCGACTTCGCAAATCTCTTTATGGTCTGAAACAAAGTCCTCGTGCATGGTTTGGAAAGTTCAGTCGATCAATTGATCAGTTTGGAATGATAAAAGGCAAATCATATCACTCTCTCTTTACAGACGAACGAAAGCAGGTATCATATTGCTTATGGTGTATGTCGATGATATTGTGATTACAGGCAATGATAATGCAGGTATTTGGGCCCTTAAAAATTATCTTCTTAGCCAGTTCCAGACAAAAGATCTAGACTCATTGTAATACTTCTTGGGTATTGAGGTAACACGGAGTAAGAAAGACATATTTCTATCTCAACGAAAATATGTACTTGATTTGCTCGCTGAAACAGGGAAGTTGGGATCAAAGCCGAGCAATACTCCCATGGTTCCCAATGTGCAACTCACTCAAGAAGGCATGCCGTTGGAAGACCCAGAAAGATATAGACGATTGGTTGGAAAACTTAATTATCTCGCAGTCACTCGTTCAAATATTGCTTACTCTATGTGTAGTGAGTCAATACATGTCATCTCCGACCATTGATCATTGGGCTGCTGTAGAACACATATAATGTTACTTAAAGGGAGCACCAGGACGAGGTATTGTTTATCAAAACCATGATCACATGAGAATAAAATGCTTTGCAGATGCTGATTGGGCCGGTTCTAAAGATGATCGAAGATCTACATCTGGCTATTGCGTCTTTGTTGGTGGTAATCTTGTATCCTGGAAGAGTAAGAAACAGAATGTGGTTTTTCGTTCTAGTGATGAATCAGAATATCGAGCTATGACACAATCCACATGTGAGATAATATGGATACACCATTTATTGAATGAAATCGGATTGAAGACACCAATGGCTGCTCAGTTGTGGTGCGATAACCAAGCTGCTATACACATAGCAAACAATCCCGTATTTCATGAGAGAACAAAGCATATTGAGGTTGATTGTCATTTTATTCGAGAGAAGATACAAAAAGGATTAATCTCTACTGGATATGTGAAGATTGTAGAACAACTTGGAGATTTATTCACCAAGGCTCTAAATGGGATTCAAGTTGATTACTTATGTAACAAATTGGGCATTTGGGCATAATAAATATCTATGCTCCAACTTGAGGGGGAGTGTGAAAGTATTTTTGTATGTAAGAATATGCTTTAGGAATATACTCTAGACATTA